ACGGAGCGCGCGCGCGTCGTCGCGCGCGCCCAAATCCGCCCGAGACCTTCGGTTGCGCGCGGACTTAACATCAAGTTCCCCGAAACTTCGTCTTGAACGCATGTTTGGGTAAATTTTGTCATCGAAAATGCGCGCTCTTGCGAATTCTTGAGCCGCTGGTTTTCCAACATTCTGAACATTCTCATCAAATTCGACCAGGCAGGCTTGTCGCACCGCATGCCGAAATCATTCGAACGCTGTTGCGCGCGTGCTGGGGTGGGGGGGGCGCGGCCCCTGTCAGGTGGCGCCGCGCGAGCCGCTCGCGCGCGTCGGCCGCGCGCGCGCGTCGAACGCCTCCCGACGCTTCCTTCGTCGCCGGCGCGAGGACACCGTAGTCGGCGTCAGCGTGGTCAGCATCGGCGCCGTCATGGGCCTCGCCGTCGCCATCGCCGTCATCGCCGCCGTCATCTTCACCAGCATCTTCCATCTCCGCGCCCGCCGCTGTCGACGTCGCCCTGGTGCCGCGCCCGCCCGCGCCGCCGACTCGCACTGAAGTGCTCGCTCGGGAATCCCCAGCGGCCAGCGCCATCGCGGCCGCTTCGGTCGCGCCAGACTAGCTGGCCGCCGCGCGCGCGAGCCGCGCGGGCTAGCGCGGCCGCGGAGATGCACCGGCCAACGCCAAACACTCGTCGCAATCGCCGCCGCATGGGTTTTGCAAATCACATTGCGGGTGGGCGGGTGGGACAAGTGCGCGAGCGGTGGAGGTGACAATTCCAACTCTTTCGAAATTCGCCAGAATGCACCACAGAGAATGCAACGCACCTATTGTTTTTTCTGGCAGAGATTTTGCCCCCCCCCCCCCCCCCCGGCGGGGTTATCGGCCCCCATGTGGAGATGTGCAATTTACAGATGATGGTTTCCAATCGTTCATGCTAAATATGAACTCATAACACCCCAGCCAGGCCGACCAGCATCGACGCCCCCTCACCCTCGCCAAATAGTATTATGCGCGCGCATTCGTTTGTCAAAAGTCACTAATTGTAAACACCCCGTGCGACAGATGGGACGAAGTGCGCGCGCGCCGAAATCTTGCAAACAATTGTTGGTATATTAAGAATTTCCAGATCGACGGTCCCGAACACAGATTGGAAACCGTCGTATTGACTTGGGATTGTTCAAAAGTCTGCGCGCGCGGTTCTGCGACATTGGAAAATCGTCACAGGTTGTTAACGCGCCCATCAAATTCGACCAAACGGGCTGCTCGCGAACGCGCGTGTCGGAATCAGTCGAACGCCCTTGCGCACGTGGGGGGAGGGGGGGCACGATCTTTGTCAAATGGTATAAGGCGGGTCGCTCGCGCGCGCTGGCCACGCGCATGTCGAAGTCTGCCCAAAACCTTCATCACCGACGCGTGGACACCAGCATCGTCGTCGGCGTGATCAACATCGGCGCCGTCATTGGCCGTGTCGTCGTCATTCGTCGTCGCCAGCGTCGCTACTATCATCATCGGGTCTGACGATGTCGACGTCGCCATGATACCGCGCCCGCCCGCAGGTGGGTGTGTGGGATGGTTGCGCGAACAGTGGAACTGCCAAATTCAAGCTCGGCCTGGCGAATTGCACCACATTTTCTGCACCCAGTATACTGCTCAACGTAATTGCACATAATATATTGTTAGAAAAACGCTGGCGAACATTGACAGCCCTACGTACGGGTTTTGGGGCGATTTGGGCTTACTGGGAAAATCCGGATGGGGGTCCTTGAGAATGCGGGGCCGTTTTGGAACGGTTTTGGGCGCCTCTTGGAGCATATGGGAAGCCATTATGAGCTATTGTCCGCTACCTTGAGCCATGGTGGAGGATCCGAAGCCTTGTTCGAGTCTTGGGCGAAAAAGGGCTGTCTGATACATCGCGGGATCCCCCAACAAAATCTCAAGGACGGGAAAGGGGAAGGCCCCCTTTCCCGAAAGGAATAAGGCTCTGGATGAGACAAGCGTCTGCCGTTAGACCACCTACGCCCAGAGATCTGGTGGGATTCTATCATCCTGCCTACTGACGAGTCTTTCGACCGGCAGGATGGAAGGGTGGACTCTTTTTTCGAGAGCGGGATTCGCCCGTGTGTCGGGCCGCAGGGCCCTCGCCACTCAAGCTGCCCGCGGCGGGAGACTTGCTCGGAGTTCCGGGCAGGGCCTTGCGACGGGGGCGTGCGTTGCAGCATCGCTGGCGCATCTTGGGCTTACCCTGGTCCTCCGCCTCCCCTGCCTCTTCGATCGATGGGGGCGCAGGAGCACAAGGGGAGGAAGAGGAGGGGGCGAGGAGGGTAGGCACGCCTGCTCGCCAGCTGCGCCTACTCCTGCTGCCTCTCCGTCTTTCCCCTCCTCCGCCCCTTTTTGTCCTTCCTCCTCGCTCCTCCTTCCTCCCTCTTCCCTCCTCCCCCTTCCCTCCTCGCTCCTCCCTCTTCCCTCCTCCCTCCTTTTTCGTCCCTCTTCCCTCCTCTTCTGCCGAGCCCCCCGCGAGGTTGTGGAGGTCCTCTCGCGCTTCTGCGAGCGGGTGCTGTCTGGTGCCCACCCGCAGGCCCACGAGACGGGGCGGCCACAGGCGAATTGGAGCGTTGGTCAGGTCAAGAATTCAGCGTCTGATGTTAAGTCGGCCATGTTCTTCTAAAGGAGGAATATTTAAGATTGGTAAGGAAATAGTGTGGGGACGGATTTTCGTGTTTTCTGCGCATGTTTGTTCGACATGTTTGACTTCTGATTTTGTTTCCAGAATCCGCCTGTAGGAGGACATGCCCGACCTAAATCTGATGAATCGGCCATCGCAGATCACTGTGAGCGGCGATCGCAGATCACTGTGATCGGAGGTTGACCCATTCGGTAGCGTCTCAGTGCCACTTGCTTGGATCACCTCGGGCGGCCAGCAATCGAAGTGGTACTGGCGTAAGGAGAAAAGATCGTTGTGATCGGCGGCGGTCTTGGTGACGCGCTTGGTGATGAGCAGTGCGACCAGAGGTGTGGTCTGGCTATGCGATCGACTGGCGCGATCGGTCCACCGATCGGCTGGACACCAAGGTCAAGAGGCCTGGTTGTGTCTGAAAGCAGCCTTTGCTGCTGCTGCTGCTGCGCCGCCCCCTTTTTTGTTGTTGGTGTTTTTTCCTTTCTGGGGTCCTTCGCACGGAGGAAATCGGGGCCAGCAAGACTGTGCAGAGTCGCATGAGCCCCGCCCAGGGTTTCCACAACTTTTCTCGAACGGTCCTCAGCATCCCAAGGGGCTTTAAGACCCTGTTACCCCACTGGCGTTTCCCTTGGGGGCGTGACCTACTTTCTGAGAGTTCCTGTCGCTGCCCTCCTGCCTCTTCCCCTTGCTACGGCGAAAGGCAGGCCGAAGCCGATTTCCGATACAAGCACAGCAAGTATCCCAGCAACTTGAAACGGCCTTGATACAGCTTTTGTTGGCACAGTCCATTCCGCAAGATGACAAGCTGCTCCTGATCTAGGCGTACTGCGCGCTCACCCCGGATGACGCGGCCTGCTTAATTCCACAGTAGCTTTTGCCAGTGGGATCTCATGCCGGAGATGTTCGCCACAGGCCTCTTCAACCTCGCGAATCTTCTGGCGCTGCGGCCGAACCCGCTCCAGCCCGCGTCTGGCAAAATTCGTTTCAAGCACTTCCCGGGGCGCCGCAGAGCTGGCAGCATGCAGTGTCATATATAGGCCACGGTTGCCATGCCTGGGCTACTCGTGCACGTCCGTTGGCTGTGTGCTGGACTTGACCGCACTCGAGGAGGCCTTACCCGCATTGGCGCCAGCCGTGACTGGAGGGGCCACCATGTACTGACGAGAACAGGCCACTCGGAGCGAGGCCCCCCCTGCGAGGGTTGGTGAGTGGAAGGCTGCCCTTCGAGCCACAATCAGGTCCGCAATCTGATCCACGATCCAACGAGAACGCACTGTGGAATCGCGTGCAATCAACCCGCATAGTAAGGATGAAAAACCTTCCAAGGCTACCCTAACATCCTTCCCCTTCGGCGCATCCTTGTCCGCTTTCGCTGGCCGCGCCCCGCCCGCAAAGTGTCGGCATGGCATTCCAAGGCCCTTGCATCCTTATCGTGCGTCCTTATTGATTATGCGGGTCGATTGTACTTCTTGTCACTGTTGTTAGTGATTGTTGGCCGCGGCCTTACTGCCAAGGTTCTCTGCATGGGTTTTTCTTTTGCAGGTCGGCTTGTTTGGCGTTTCTGGTTTGCTCGGCGACTCTCGGATTCGCGCTGCGGTCATACATGGCCGACGCGCCAAACTTTGGTGGTTGTGCTTCAAGAAAGAACGTAAAATTATAATGGCCCCAGCAAGTATGTGGGAATCGCAGGAGCGATTGAGCCTAGGCCCTCGAGTTGGGTGGCACGCGCGCTGGCTTTGCCAGTGAGCCCGTGCGCTTCCAGCGCGACCCCTAATCGAAGCCGAGTCGTGGCACAGCTCAGCGCCAGCTCGGTACAAAGCTGGGGAGGCGAGCTACCGAATCTCGAAGTTCCTTCTTCGAGCCTGTTCTGAGACAGCCGGACCCCGCTGTGTAATGCCTCAGCTGCCGTTTATTCCCTTCGCTCTTTCTTCCTTCTGACTTACTTCGGCTGGCAGCAGGTTGTCGAAGGGTGATGTTTCACAGGGGATTGCAGCACAGAAAGCGTAATCGGCCTGAGAGCTCAGCGCGGTCCGGCGAGAGCACCCAAGGCACTCCACCTTCTCTTCTGTTGCCGTCGTTCTCCTCCTCCTCCTCCTCCTCCTCCTCCTCCTCCTCCTCCTCCTCCTCTTCTCTCTCCCACTCGACTCTTCTGTCCTCCTCCGTTCTCCTCCGTCCTCCTTTGTCCTCCTGCGTCCTCCTAGTGCCCCTCCTCGTCGTCCGCCTCTTCTGCTCGTCCGATCGGCTCCCCTTCCTTTTCGCATTCCTCGTACACGTCCTCGTACAGTCGGAGTGAGGTATAAGATCGAGGTCGGCTCGGGGAGGGCACCCTAATGCTCTTCGTGTTTGCTGCATGTTACTGCGCATCCTGGGGATGATGCCCTTGGATGTCCCGTGTGTTTTGGCCGGCGGAGGGTCTCATGTTCGTGAGCGATGTTCTTTTGGCCTAGGTCCGAGTGTATTCTCTCTTCCTGCACCTCCTCGTCGTCGTTTTCCTTCTTCTGCCTCTGTGCTACCCTTGGGAATCGTGTCAGCCCGTAGGCTCGTCTGGAAGACGTACTCCGAGGTGAAGAATCCAGACAAGCCGCTCCTTCTCGAGATGTACGGGAAATATCGCAGCGAGAGCGAGAAGAAAGCGAAGGAAGCGGAGAACCTCGCGACGGTGTTGGAGCCCCATTCGGACGCATTCGTGGTAGCTAGCTACGAGACGTCTGAGAATTATTTGCCACCTGGAGATTTCAAGCGCGAGAAGTACGCATCGGTCACCGAGTGGTATTGGGTACCCAGACAGGACGTTGGTTCTGGGAAGTTTGTCGTTAAGAAGCTCAAGAAGCCGAAGGCGGATGCACCTATCAAGACAGTGCTGGAATTCTTGAAGAAGCAGTCTGGTGCCGATCTCGATATCTCCTCGCTGACCGCGAAATTTGAGGAGTCAGCAGCATCAAACCTTCCATGCCTCAAGGATTTCGGTCGGTTTCAAGGTGTCGCGGTTTTCCAAGGTTGAGCGCTGATGGTTTGATTGAGTCCTGCGGGTCCTTCTGAAGCGAGTTTTGTCTGTTGCTTCAAGTGCTGGCTACTGCCACCACTGAACAAAGGGCCCCCCTCGAACTGTCGGCCGGGAGTGGTGGTGGTGGTGGACCGCCTCAGGAGCTGATGATCTCCAACGGCCCGCCGCCTCCGCCGTCCCGGGTCATCGACCCGGAGCTGGAGGACGACGAGCCGGAGGGCCAGGACAGGTCTCCTTTCGACTCCTCCGATGCGGTTCGAGTCGATTCCGATGTATTCTGATTCCGATTCGGTTCGACTTGCGCTTCCGATCCGGGCTCCGATTTCCCAATGGAGGCCTGCTAGCCTGCCGACTTCCGCCGATTCGACTTCTTCCGATTCGGCTGCCGTTTTCTGCCTTTTTCTGCCGTTTGTTGCAAGATTGCACGTGTACATGTATGCATGTTTTGCGCTTCCGTAGCCGCCGAGGCTCCAAACTAGTAGGGACACTTTTCCCCTGAACTAGAGTCAGGCAGTACTGCAAACATCGCGCATCCACAGCTTGGCGAGTCCTTGGGCTTCACCGCGTATGATCGCCCCTCCGGAATGCATCGACCGGTTCTGGGTCTCCTTGAGGAGCAGCCAGCGAGCAGGCGGCAGCGAGCGGGGCGCGACGGCTCGAGGGGTGGCGCCCGGGGGATGGAGGCATGCTCGGGGAGGATATCAAGGGCAGCGAGCTGTGAGCTGGCAGGCGAAGGGGCCCCATCATCGTCACCACCACTAGCAAATGCAGGAAGGGGGGGAGGAGGAGGAGGAGGAGGAGGAGGAGGAGGCGGAGGAGGAGGAGGAGGAGGAGGAGGAGGAAAGAGAGAGAGATGAGAGAGGAGAGGAGGAGGAAGGAGGAGGAGGAGGAGGAGGAGGAGGAGGAGAGGAGGAGAGGAGGAGGAGGAGGAGGAGGAGGAGGAGGAGGAGGAGGAAGGAGGAGGAGGTAGGAGGAGGAGGAGGAGAGGAGGGAGGAGGAGGAGGAGGAGGAGGAGGAGAGGAGGAGGAGGAGGAGGAGGGAGGAGGGGAGTGAAGGAGGGGGAGGAGGGAGGAGGAGGCGGAGGAGAGGCGTGGAGGAGGAGGGGAGGAGGAGGAAAGAGAGAGAGAATAAGAGAGAGGAGGAGAGGAGGACAGGTGAGGAGGAGGAGGAGGAGGAGGAGGAGGAGGATTTTTCCCCCCCCCGCCCCCCCCCCCATCCTCCCTTCTCCCCCGTCCCTACATATGGCAGTTGATGGTGGAGAAGTTAGGCCCAGCAGCAGGGGGTTCTGTGAGCGGACGCTGCACCTCTTCGGGGGCTGACGCATGATGGCCACCGCCCCGTGGCCGCCGTAGCCTCCTGCCGGACCAGCTGAGCGACGCTTTTTTTGTTTTCTGTTTTCTTTTCTTTTTTTCTTTTCGTGTTCTTGTCTTTTTCTCTTTTTTTTTTTTTTCTATGTTTTTTATATTCCTTTTTGTTTTCTCATTTTTTGTTTCTTGCGGGGGGGGGGCGTGTAGTAGGCCTTAAGTCGGGCCTGTCCCTTTCAAGGAGAGTATTCAGAAATAGTCCACAAAATAGTCAGGTGACGATTTTTCGACAAGTTTTGAACATTTTCGGCATCTGTTTTTAAACTTATTTTTTGTTTGTCATCCAGAATTCGCCTGTAGGGGGACATGCCCGACCGAATGCAAGCCTCGTACCCCCATAGGCTGCCAACTCCCTGCTCCGCGGTCTTGTGCCGGATCAGATGGTTTGTGGTGGCTGCGTACGAGAGTCGCGCACCGACCTCTGGACTCAGAGGCAACGTCAGGGTGGGAGGGAAAGGCTCAGGGGGGGCATCGACCCCCCCATCGCACGTGGAATCGCCGATGTGGGCTCGATGGCCCGTACCTACCCAGGAACGTGCGGATTCCTTAGCGGGGGCCGATCGCCGATTCATCAGCGGTACATCGTCGATTCCAGTTCGTTGTTCCCCCTTTGAGCTGGTCCCCTGGTGGTTCTCTGGTCAGAACTTGAGCCTCCAGCGGCCGTTCGGGGCGATCCGGGCACCCCCAGAACGCTTTCGGCGAGGCGCAGCCGCTGGAAGGCATCCCGAGGCTGAAGCTGCCGAGAACTGACGAAAGAACGCCCGAAGACCGCGGACCTCAACATTTTCGCCCTCCTCCTCCTCCTCCTCCTCCTCCTCCTCCTCCTCCTCCTCCTCCTCCTTATGGCGGTGCCCCTCGTGGGCCCGGCTCCCCGCCATGCTCGCGCGGGCGCCCGATGCGCGCTCGCCGAGAGACCGCGCCCCGAGGCCAGTGCCTGCACGGCCAGGCCGAGGGCGGCAAAAAGGGCCGGGTCGCGGCAGAGCGCCGCTCAGCCGCGCTGCTTCCCTGCTGCCTCCCGCCTGCCCCGGACTCAGAGGAGGAGAAGGTGCTCATGACTCTACCCTTCGCCAGTTTTTCCTCTGTTTGGGCCTCCTGGGAGGTCCTCGTCGCCACCGCTGGATTCGCCTCGAAATCCTGGTCAGAACGTACCCCGGCAGAGGTCCAGGAAGCAGCGTTATCGGTACCTTCTGCTTTCCGCAGGGAGATGCCCGCGTCGTAACGAAAAGCACGACGGTCACCACCCACCAAACCACCCCGACCCAACCCAAAGGCCCCGATCTGCCCTCCATTTCCAGTGGGGGGGGTTGGGGAACATTGAAACACACAGATGAGCGACGCAGAAAAAAGGGGGTTGATTGCGCCGACATTCGCGCGTAAGCTCCTCGCGTAAGGTCGCGCGTAAGCGCCCTCGTTTCCACCTCAGCGTGCCGCGCCGCTGGCCCGCGTAAGCCACCGCGTAAGGTCGCTATGCCATCTCGCGTAAGACCCGCTTTGATCGTAGCTCACATGAAGCCCGTCCCCCCCCCCCCCAACCCGAGATTCGGGTATTCGGGTTGGGTTGGGGCGGTCTGGTAGGCAGTCGGACAGGTTTCTTTTTGGTCCTCCTCAGCCTCTGGGGGGCCTCCCTGGGCTGCGGGACTGTCGTCAAGAAGACTCTGGAGGAAGAGCGGCCCTGGGGAAAGGGTCGGATTGTCCGGGGTCCGGCGCGGATACAAGGAATCCTTCGGTAGCAAGTCATGGGAGCCTGGTCTACCCTCTTAATTCCGTTTTTAGCGTCGATTAGCTTAGCGATTGGGAGTCGGTGAGATAGCGCCGACTCAGCGTCGGCTAGCGTCGATTCGATTAGCGTCGATTTAGCGTCGATTAGCGTCGACTCGCAGGAGTCGACAAGATGGTATGGGAGGCTCCCATGAGTTGCCACCGAAGAATCCACACGGTCAGGCCTGGTGCGGAAAAAGGGCCAGTCTCGGTAGAGCGACGCCCTGCCATGTTGCCTCCTTCCTTCCCGTCCTCCCCTCCTTTCCTTCTTTCCCATCCTCCCTCCTTCCTGCCTGCCTGCCTGCCTGCCGGCCTGCCTTGCTTCCTTCCCTCTTTCCCTCCCTCCCTCCTTCCCTCCCTCATTTCTTCCTCCCTCCCTCCCTCCCTCCGTGCGATCGGCTCCCCCCCCTCCCTGAGCCAGGAGCTCGTGCTCTGTCTCCAAGGCCCCCTCGCCTCCAAAGGTTCTCACTGTTCGGCGACGCGGCGCGGCCCGCGGCCTGTGGGCTCTCCAAGAAAAAGAGTGGCACTCGCCAGTCTTCGGCGCGAGCACTGCCACTGGGGATGAAGTCGGGCGTGCCCCTCTACAGGAGGAAGATTCAAAACAATTGTCAAACAAAACAGTCTGGGGACCGTTTTTGGAGCATTTTTGTGCGTTGATTGCTTATTTTTGAAGTATGTTTTATTGTTTCGTCCAGGATCGGCCTGTAGGGGGACACGCCCGACCTAACACTGGGGCGTCTGGGGGCACCGCCACGTCGCGGGAAGATTCGCCTGGCGCAGGACCCGGCAGTTTGCAGTTGTGAGTGCCGCAGCTGCGGGCACGCCTTCGGTGGAGCCCCCTCCACGGGCCACGGAACGCTGTGCCGTGGGCGGGGGAGAGGACGCGGGCGAACTCTGCCACCCCGGGGGCTTCGGTGGAGCCCCCCCCCATACTGGGCCACGACACGCCGTGCTGGGCGGGGGGGAGACGCTGAACGCTGTGCCGTGGGTGGGGGAGGGGACGCGGGCGGACTCTGCCACCCCGGGGGCTTCGGTGGAGCCCCCCCCCCATACTGGGGCCACGAGACGCCGTGCGGGGGTGGGGGAGAGGCGCGCGCGAGCTCTGCACCACGGGGGCCTGCGGTGGAGCCC